TGGTTATACGCTGGCGGCCAGGTTTAGTTAGAAGCAGATCTTTTCCTTACTACACTTTTAGTATGGTGATTCACAGCTAGATCCACACAAAGATGTAGCTCGCCAAATTAGTGTACGCGGAATGTTATGATGTATTAATTTCTGCAAAACGTGATTTTTAGTTCGCTTGGAAAGTTTTCTTATATGAATATATGTGCATATTGGGACGCTACAAAGATAGTTAAATCAAATCTTACCAATTCAGGCCAAAATGACTGCTGATGAGAATGAAAAAGAAAAAGATTTATTGTGCACTTGCACTAGGTAATCCACTTTCATTAGCACTCGCGTGGAATAAATTTATACTTGACTTAATGTGGTCGGCTCCGTGGTCACAAAGGGAAAGAACGAATATTGTATGCGGAAATTAATCCTAAGCCGAATAATCAAAAATATGTATCGATAACTTTGCTAACTTAGATCAGGTGATTGTGGAGATGCCCGGAAGGAGGTTTTGAGTGTAGCTGTGTTTCATACTACAGGGTGTTAAGACTTTAAGAAAATGCAAAAAGTAAGGTTGGGGAGCGAAATCGAGTGCATAAAGGAAAATCTATTAACGCTAACAACACTAGTCGGTTTTGTACCCACGGTACACACGCACACATAACAACGCTTAAGAGCGGCTTATCTAAAGTGGAAAAAAACATTCCTAAACGCGTTGCTGTTTCTGTGGATGAAGATATGATGTCTTCATCAATATCTAGAAAGACTACCCATACACATAAATCTGATGCGTCCAAACACAATTATTGGGCGCCTCCTCAAATGCTAACTGAAGACAGTTCTAATATGGATACTACTGCTCCAGAAAAAGTGAAGAAAACAGACAAAACTACAATTTCACTAATTAAAGGGCTAACGGAGAAAAGTGTACTAATAACTAAGCTACTTGATGAAAAAAGTCAGCCAGTTTGTCGTTAAAAAAATTTCCTTGGGGATTAAAATTTTTAGTGAGTCAATTGAAACATTCAATGACATTAAATCAATTCTTAAAGAAAGAAAATGTCAATTTTTCTATCATGACTTAAAACATGAACGTCCGTATAAAGTCGCATTGCATGGCTTGGATAACAAATCAAGTGAGGAAGTTAAAGGGGAACTCAAAGAACGTGGCTACAGCTGTGAAGATGTGAAAGTCATAACAAAATCTTACGCAAGATATGTTGACACTATTTATGTCATTAGTTTTGCCAATGGCACCGTTAAACTGCGTGATCTCCGCGCTAATATTCCTTCTTTGTTTCGCACTATTGTTCGCTGGGAGCTACAAAGGAAGCTAAAAAAAAAAACCGGTCCAGTGCCGTAATCGTCAAATGTTTGGTCCCGGTGAGAAGAACTGTTTTGTGCAAACACAAGACAACTGACTGTATAACGCCCGATCAAAACAAATTTGCAAATTGCAGGGGAAACCACAAATCTACAGACGCCACCTGTCCCAATCGTGAAGCTTACTTGGGTATAAGAGAAGCTGTCAACTCACGAAACAATCGTAATACTGCCAAACCTGAGCGAGTGCAGTCACACACATTCGATCCGCTTTCATTTCCAATGCTTCCAACTCGCAACAACTCGCATCGACCTGAGAGTGTAAATCCATCTACTCCAATCTGGCCTACCCGCCCTACCATTGAAGAGGAGAAGAGCAACTTATTTTCGCAGAAAGAGATCACTGACCTCACAATCGACGTCGTGACTAAATTAAAGCAATGCAACTCGAAGGAAGAGCAGTTCAATGTTATAACGCAGTTAGCTATTAAGTACCTGTATAGTAGTTGTTACTCAAGGTTCATAGAATTATGAATTCAATTTCAAATTAAATTTTTGGTTTTACTTCTATTTATATAAAAGAGCAATAACTAAGGGTAAGTATAAATAGTAAGTATAGCTGGTAGATATAAATCATGGGTTCCCAAACTTTTTTTTCTCGTAGACACCTTTCAAAAATTTACTGGTTTCGGTGGACCCCCTGTTGATACATTTCTAAATATTCCCAAAGCTTGAAAAAAAAATTAAATGTGAAAATTATATCTAACAATGTAAATTCGCATCGCGGGTGAATTCAAAAATCAAACTAGGAGTGGCCAAAATAAAAGTAAAATATTTTCTTGTGTTCTATTTATAAAAATAATGTGATTACACACTTGTAGGTTTTAAAAAATAGAGCTCGTAAATGCATCAAATACTCTCTCGCTCGGAAGAGTTATATTTTTTAAGAGCACTGCGAGCGGTAGCATTAGTTACATTATCTTCACCATAAACTCATCAAATGTTCGGCTCACTCAACACTTTGCACGTGGAGTATATGTAAAATAGTTTATTTGTGTTAATGGCATCATTTTTATTCCGAGCTCTAAATTGAGATGAAAAATATTTATCACATTTTTAAAACACAAATCTTAAAATATCAAAAAGGCTAAGCTTTTTACGCCAAACTTTTCAGAAACTGACAATAGAGAAAAGAACGAGTTTAAAAAATCGATGACAAATAACCAAGCAAGCAAGAACCACCAAAAGTGTTCCACCGTCTCATTTTCTTCAAGGCAAGATGGGCAAATGGACTTGTCATTTACGCCTATCACAGTTAGGTGTTTGTGCCACGTGTGGTGACCAGGCAGCAGTCCAGCAAGTTGTCTGCACTGTCGTCTGGTCAGTGAGAGCAAAAAATTAGATAGAACTTGTGAGATTGAAGGCAACATGAGTTTTACCCACCTGCATCCCCTCGATGCCTTAGTCATTTCTGAGCGAAGTATTCACCCAGTTTCTGATGCTGGGTTCGATTGCCAAAGGTGGGAGTGCTAAAACTAGTTGCGGACCGAGGAATGCCTGGTCTAAGCCAACTCTGGCCAAATGATCAGATCATAACCAGGTACACCAGATTGACCTTGCACCCAGAGTAAAACAACCTCGTTATGTTCACCATCATATTTTAGTCGAGACTTGCATTTTCGAACTAGTTTGGAAGTAAATAGAGGGCTGGTCAATGCCTTAAGTGCAGCTTGGTTGTTACTGCAGCCATGCAAACTCCTTCCCCTCCACCTATGTTCCACCACGTAGTCTATGGTTTTGAGTATTGCAATTACCTCAGCCTGGAAGACCGAAGCATATTCTCCTACAGAAAAGTGAAGCTTATCTCCATTAACCTCGAAAAATACCCCAGATCATGACCGAGAGTCAGTTCTCGAACCATCAGTGAAGATTTGACAATGTGTGAGACCGGTCTCAGCGATGTAATCAAACCAGCATTCAGTCTCAGGGAACTCAACATCATAGAATCTCTTTAACAAAGGTAATGGTGGCGTACTATCCTGTAGCATTGAAAAGAAACAGCGTCCGGTTATTTTTAGTCTGCATGTGGCCATTAAGGCTTCCCCACGAATGAAAACACAAAGTGACGGTAAGTACAGCAGTGCGTCAAGAGCACTATACACCACTCAAAAAAATTAAAGTTAAATAAAGAGGCTATCAAGCAACCATTTTGGTTCTTTACATCGAAACCAGATAAATTTTCGTGGAGCTCCATTTACAACTCACGGACCCCTATATTTTGTTCACGTCACCGTGGACCCCCGTCGAGTCTTCCGTGGACCCCTGGGGGTTCACCTGGACCACTTTGGGAATCACGGATATAAATGGTAAGTATTTTATAATATTAATTATGTACTATTAATTCTTCTTTTTTCTTTTAGGTGCAATCACTGTCTTCTTTTGCTACTTCTCTTTTTAATTTTGAACTGCAGGCTGAACTTGGAAAGTGGGGAAAAAATCATGTTAGAAGCTAGAGTTTTTTTTTAGCTATTATGTACTTCGCATAGAATCACTTTGTTTAGGCATGAATTTAAACGGATTTGGCGATGAAGAAAGAAAAACTTATCTTCTAAAGAATACAATTCCTTCAGGTCAATTGGCGGGCCTATATTTGGTGGTA